GTAGTTTTAATAATCGGAACCTATAGCAATAAAAAATAGCGAAAGAATCGATTTTAATCTGCAATCGCGGCGAAAGTCACCAGTTTGCGGTTGTCGATTTTCCACAAGGAACGTGCTAAAAGTAGTAAACGTGGAGGTTTTGTTATCAAAAGACAGGATCAAGGCACCGAATCGCAAGCAGATATTACTTGCTAGCATACTATTAAGCTCACTCTTTGTACTTTCCCAACTGCTACAAGCTAAAAACATCATGGTCTGGGATGCATTCAAGGATATCGAGATCAAGGCAACAAATGGTACGGATTACAATTCTTTAATCGTCGAATTCCTTCAAAATGCGTTGAGCTGTATGCATCGGATGCACTTTCACCTCTCCTTTGAGCAAGATCCCGGTTCAACATTAGACTTTGCATTCATGACAAGCTTCCTTTGAACAGATTGCGCACACCCTATATCTTTTACTCACTATGTATCTTTCACATACAGAACGCTTCTACTCAGTGCTAACAGACGTTCCGAATTGGCCACAATGGGATGTCGACCTCGAAAAATCATTCCTCAAAGACCCTTCAGCTCCTGCTAAGGAAGGTGCTCCAGGCCACCTCAAAATGAAGAATGGGCGTGAGTTTGATTTCAATTTGGGACGTCTCGATCCTACTGGATACACTTGCTATATAACTAAATTGCCTGGAGCGAGTGCTGAATGGTATTGGGATTACTCAAAGAGGAATGGAGATGTTGCTACTGTGAGAATGGGTGTCAAGTTTACTGGATTTGCTACCTTTATATATAAGGCATTGCTGGCTAAGGAAGTTGCTGTTGCTTTTGATAACTGTGTGCCAGAGTTAAAAAAGGTAACATACAATTGTATTCTTTGTGAAAAGGTCTCTTCTGCCGGAAAGTATTCACTCTTCTCTTGCGATTAGGTTTGCGAGAGCTCGACATAGAGTTGTCTCATTTTGATCTGCAAGCCCCTAAGCTGTAATGAGAGGGGAAAGACGACAACGTATATACATATAACAGAATAGAAAATCCTCATACTCAAACGTTGGTGTACATACTTGTTGTGTTGACCTGTAACATTCGTGACAAACTTCAAAACGCAAAGTTCAAATAATGGACCAAAAGGCCACAAAGAGAGTGGCAGCAATAAGCGCACAACTAAATCCCAATCACGGCAATGCAGAACCAGAGGAATCGAGCGTTGAAACGCAAAACTTGGAAGCTGTATCACCAATGTCCAAAAGTGTGAAGCAGAAGCGACAGGAGAAGAATTCTTGGCAGGCAAATTGTCGTGTCGGCTGTTATTCGTTTAAATCTGCTTGTGCGCTAACAATTTGCTTGGATCTAGGCGGATGTTGATGAACTCGACCACAGACGAAAGCTTGCATCACAATTTCTGGAAACCGATCCAGGTTTCTATCTTGACTCATGCATATGCTAGCACGGATAATATGCTAATGTTTTGAATTATGTAGGCGTGATCAGACAGAGAGAGCAAGGAAAATTGACTCCTCGTGAAGTATATTTCGTCCCCACGGTTTTGCATTCCAGCATGTCTCTCTACACTGAAAGCAAACCTTCTAACGCCCCTTTCAAATTATAGCGGATCGCTCTACTCATCGACCCAAACACGGCCTTGCGTGAATTCGGATCTGTTGCTGGAAAAGGACACTACACAAACAACAAACTGGTTGACTTTACACGTGCAAATTTCGTCACTGGACGAGCAACCGTCATATCGAGGAATGTGGTTGTAGGAGCCGATGATTTTACTGTTAGAGGTGGACATGCTGATGGGTAATGATTACTTGTGTTGAATACTTGGATGTTCCAACATTGGACTTAATGGTCCATGTTACTGTGCTATAGTGCCATATGGAGAAAACAGTTGTATGGAGAGCAAATGGCTCGAGAATATCGAATCCCAGTGATTCGACTTATTGATGGTTCGTCAGGTGGTGGTTCCGTTACCACCATCCTCAAGAACGGAAGTTCGCCATTGCCGCACCAGGTGAACTTTCCGACGATGATCAATCTGTTGCAGGATGCACCGGTCGCGGCCGCAGTACTCGGTCCAGCTGTTGGTATGGGCGCTGCTCGGGCAACGCTGACTCACTGTAAGCACGTTTGTCTTTGAAGAGCATCAGCGAATACTCACACAATTCTAGTTACCGTCGTATGCCGCGGACTCGGGCAACTCTTCGCAGCAGGCCCACCCGTCGTGTATTCAGCCTGGCATGTACGACTATCCAAGGAAGAACTAGGCGGCGCGGATGTACACATCCCCAACGGAACATTCGACAACGAAGCCATCTCAGAACTGGAATGCATGAATCAAATCCGACAATGGCTGTCATATATGCCTCAAAACACATCCCATCTGCCACCTCGTGCTCCACCACCAGTCGCAATCCCATCTCAGGAGAGTTTACTAACTGCCATTCCCAAGAAACAAACAAGATCGTATGATCCTCGTACAGCGTACCTATCGACGATACTTGATCCAAACTCGTTCTTTGAGATTGGACGAGGTTGGGGCCAAGAAATCAGTACTGGATGGGGGCGGATTGATGGATTTGTAGTTGGGATTATCGCATCAGATCCTCGTCATGGAGCCGGAGCGATGACACACATTAGTTCACGAAAGCTCTCACGTTTCGTGCAAATAGCAGACCTGTTCAGTAAGAAACCAAAATAACACTTTTTTTGTTTGGACAATAAAACTCACGTTTCGTATCTTTGCTTTCATTCCAGACATACCAATCGTATCTTTTGTCGACCAACCTGGATTTGCCATTGGCCTCAAAGCAGAAAGTGAAGCTACCATCAGATTTGGTAGTGGTGCAGCAGCTTCTGTGTATCTAACACAGTTGCCATGGTTCACAGTAATTGTTCGAAAGGCCTTTGGAGTTGCCGGTGGTGTTATGGTCTCTAGAGGTGACGCTAATGCTCAAGGAGGTGGATTGCATGATCGTGTTGCGTGAGTTTATGTTATCTCACGGATTTTTTGCTCAGAGTTTGAGTCAGAATTTAAGCAACAAGCAATTACTGTCCCTCAATTAAACGTTTACAATCTCCAATTCTAGATGGCCTTCAGGCTCGTGGGGCTCGCTTCCCTTGGAAGGAGGTATTAAATGAAACGAAAACAGCAGGCGCTTTGTTTGCAAACACCCAACCCTTGTCGTCCATCACTAGGAATCGAAGCCGCATACAAACGTGAGCTCACGGAGGCAGGGCCGAACGCTGATAAGCGACGCAAAGAGGTATAACAATGTTCATGGTTTATGAGAGAAGGTGAAGAACTAAAACTTGCCACCCTCTTTGGTTAGCTTCTGGCTCAATTCGACGAGGTCCTATCGCCATACAGATCCGCTGAACAATTCGATATTGAGGAAATTATTTCGGTGAGCGCCATTTGCGGATTTCTCGATACCATTCATAATAATCACGTTTCTTTTCTTTGCACATCCATTTAGCCTGTCGACAGTAAGAAATTTCCATGAGCTTGGGTGAACGCGCGCGTAATTCTAATCCAACTCTTGGAAATAGCACGACAATATCTAGTTGATTGGGTACGAATCATGTATGAGAACAGGTATGGGGAAAAGATTTTCACACAATTCAAGAGAATTGGAATCCAGGGATAGCACTCATTTTGTCGTGATGTTGTAGGCTGCCACAACGATTAGCACCAGGATTCAGAAAGCTAGGGTAAGCTCTTTTGTGACGGCAATAACGTGAGCAAGCATTTAACGCCGGACTTTCAATTCAGATACTTTCCATTCTAAAGGCACGAAAGGACGGTGTGTTTTTATCATTCACAACCTCGTGTGTGATTTAAACCAATATCAAATATACATGTATCCTCAATGACGTGAATTGAATAAAACCTGCTGCTCGAACCCACATTCGTCAGAAATTTCAGCAACGAAGTGGATTGAGTTCAGATTGCTATTCTTTGGTTACAGACGCAGACACTACAAAAACATAACAGGTCTATATGATCAAAGGTGAGTTTGGCTTTATTGTAATCGGCGAACCCCCTTAAACCTATATTGACGATAAAACAGCAATTCTTCTGCTCTTTTACCACACCATTTACAGAATGGATCCAACGTCCTGGCAAAAACTTCTGCAGTGGCTATTCAAAGACAAATCAGAGAGCAGCAAACCGACTAAAATAGTACGATGTCTAGCTCCTTGCGAGGAGGATTGAGAGTATGTAGAGGAGGTGTCGTCTGTAAGGGAATTGATATGCGACAACGGCGAATACTGTTACGGAGCAGTATAGTTCGACGGGGAGAGTCCATACTACCTAACCTGAAGAAATGAGAGAGAGATTAAGTGAGTGAGTGGTGAGGTATGCAGCTATCAGAGTAAGCGAAATGCGCACCAGGATACGGTGGACGGACTTGAGCTTCTGCAAACTAACTTCATCAGGAAAGATGCACGATAGACCTTACCTTAAGTATCAATAAGACGCATGTCCAGGCCATACCTGAATAGCTCTTGTTAACAGCAGCATGACGAGCTACTGGAGTAACGTTGTCACCTATTGTCGCAGAAAAAGTGAGAATTCCTTTTTTTTGTGATACAAACATCAATTACAGTACCTCTGCTCAGACCAACATATCTCAGAGGATAAAAAGCAGACCTCTTTTCTAGATACAATTTAATGGCTTAAAGTTGTTTACATCACCCTTTGTCACGTTTCAAAAGAAAATTCCAGGCCATAATGTCTTGACGGTCTCAACGACATTCTCAAACACGAGCTGATTCCCATCAGAATTAAAGTGCAGTCCATCAAGCATGTAAGGAGAGACCAAGGACACGTTGTAAAGAAGGCTAGGACTATTGTGTGGCAAAATAAAAGAATGAGTAGACGAAAAAAATCTGACAGCTCGTTCCCATTCATTGCTTACCCCAACAACATCTCCCACGTATCCAACACCCCCGTATTGGCACTCACCGACACATTAACACATGCATCACGATAAATCCTCCCTACATCTGGTGTCCTTCCAGCCCACGCACCAGCAACAGCAGGTGGTGGTGTAATCAGCAGTAAGCGTATACTGTGATCATAAGATCTTAAATAATCCACCATGGCATGTAAATTCGAAGTATAGAGTTCAACAGGCACGATTTCAAAATTGTAGTCGTTTGCACCAAACCAGATGGTTGCGAGGGATATGGACTTTGTTTTAGAGAGTGATGGGGTGTTTCGGATGCGTGTTGGGAGTGTTGGGAGGTAGTCTTTTGTAGTCCAGCCTTACATGATGTTTCGGGGTTGTGAGTAGCAAAAAAAGCAAATCGATATGAGGGCGTGGAATGCAAACCTGAGCGTCCAAGATTAACCATCTCGTATCGATCGCTAAGAGCGGATTCAAGTTGAGTAGTCCAAGATCCATGCTATTTCAAAACGTGATTAGTACATATTTACCAGATCTCGACTTTCTCTCTCTCGATTCTAGACAAATCCAAACATCCGTCCAAATTGATATTGTACCTCAGTCAATGAATCGCCGAATAGCAGAATTCTTGGATTCGCTGAGGAATCTCGATATTGTGTGAAATAAATGATGCCAGTAACCGACAACAGGCAGATGAGGAGACATGGAATCCAAAGTGGTTTCCGTTTTGAGAATAGAGGGATTGTATTTGGTCTGAGATTCTAATAAGAAATCACGTGTTGTAAAGCACGACTCAATATTTGTCTCTGTAAATACGAAGAGGAACAGTAAGGAACGCACTCGTTGATTGGGCCTCTCATTAGAATCTGGAAGAATGAATCTGTGTTGAAGGTCGTCGTCGTTGTCGTCCATGTCTCTCGTTAATCGTTGCATGAATCCATAGATGTGGTCCGTTAACGTTTGTTCACTCACGCAAGTTGTCGTAAGTCGTAAGCCAAAACCTCAAGGGCACTGTCTAGTAATCTTCAATTAAATTTAAATCTTTGAATTGCTTTAACTTGGAATATCACGTTGAGCTCGCGTCTGTGGCTGTCATTACCGTTCCACTATTGGCTTTGTGTGTGAGAAGAAAGACTGCCGCAGTTACAAAATCACATTCAACAAAAATACAAGCTAGGAACAGAGGAAAAGAAGGTCTTCTATACCCAACCAAGTGCTTCTAATCCGTTAATCTTCCTGTCCTTGGCTTCTATTTGCAAGTTCTGGCAACTTGATGGCAGGAAACTCGAGACGAACTGTGCAATCACAATCAACCTATCTCAAGTTATTCTTCTTGTTGTCGCTTTATACAAGTGTATCGAATGCTAGAACGTGGAATACAGGTACGTAATGACAGGTATTAGTGCTTACTCGATCGTGCATCTATGAGCTTGAGGAATGATCATGTTTTTTGACACTCCGACAAAACATATCGTACACATTGACTACTGCACCGATGCATCCAGTTCAACAAGTTATATCTGATCTAAGACCTAAAACTATCTTGGAGTTTTGCTAACGTTCTCGTTTTGACGGTAGTAAACCAATTCGATATAAATGGACGTGCTTGTCCAGCTGTAGTCAAATACAACCAAATCTGTCCCACTGTCTGTGTAGCTGATATTGCCGACTGTCCTGTTGAAGTATACCCTCAATGGTAGGAGCTCTAGTGCGGGACCGTGGTTGCATGTTTTGAATTGGATCTTTAAAGTCTTCTCTTGTAGTCCAAGTGACATGCATTACTGTCCTAACGGGCAGTGTCAATTCATCGGTCAAGACTGGTATGCCCAATTATCTGGTATACTTTTTTTTAACATGTTCCTGACGCTTTTTCCATTAGTGATACACATTACGCGGATGTCTGCTCATGTCCATACGGCTTCTACCCACCAGTACTGACAACAGCAACACTATACCCATGTCTCCGCTCAACATTCATTGTGAACGTGTCCGACTACCCACAAGATGCAATCACTGGTGATGGACCTTTATATCAGACATGTGCTGCACATTTAGGTGTCATGCCTGTTACTGTAGTCAATAATACGCCAAGTGCGTTCTTGATGCAGTGTGCTCCACGCCCTGATCCGGATATCAATTGGAATAGGATTGAGTTTGTTGCGTTTTATGTTTATTTTGTGGGGGAGCTGGGAGTGCTTGTTGTGTATGCGATGTACAAGTTTTGGTGTGAGATGGTAAGAAAGAATTGCTGTTTCAATGTTTTCGAATTGATTATCTCATCAGCATTCCCTTTTTGCCTAACACAGAAATACCAAACACCCACAAAACGATACCGCAAACCTACCGATGACAATGACCTAACAGATGTCGCTCTCGAAGAATTAATATCGCCGCCAAACCCTGAAGAATCGCTCAATTTCAAGGGTTATCGATTTGACAGATTTGGATCTATGGTGTATCGGTCTGTGTCTGTTGCTACAGCGGCTTGGCTGATCGTGCTAGCGGTCCTTGTAGCTGATTATTATGGTCTGGTACCACGATACTCGTACGCAGACTCTCAGATGCTGTTTGTGAATTATGAGAATTTAAGCATTGCTTTTATACTGTTGTGGCATGTTGTCACTGTTTGGTGAGTATCGTCCTATCGTTTGTTTTTGTTGCATTGTATGAATCTGAACATTTTTAACACATTTTTTATCCACTAGGTTTCTGGTATTAAAAACATCAGACTCCAAACTACCCACGTATTTCTCCCTCCGCTGTGACCTCTCCCTCGCAACTCTAATCCACATTGAGAAACGCATCGAAACAGCAGTGTACCTCTCATCCGATACCTCCACATTCATGGAACGCATCAAACTGCTCGAGAAACGCATCCGTCGCATAACTAAAACCGACGTCCTCGTCTCCGTAGTCCCCATCAAAACAACTCCATCGGGGCGCTCGTACTTTGAATTCGAGTGTGTGAGATACGTGTATGATTCCAAGGATAACAATTTTGAGGTTGTTGGATTCGCGACTGGGAATAGTGGAAGTGATTTTATTAGGCAAGGCGTTGGTCTGAAGAGTACTAGTGCGAGTGATAGGTTGGAGTTGTGTGGGTTCAATGAGGTGTCGTTTCCAGAGGCTAGCTGGAGGGATGCTCTTGTCAAAGAGTTTTCTGGTTGGATGTATATATACCAGATGATGTTGATTTGGGTTTGGTTTTATTGTAAGTGTTAAACGTTATGTCGTGATCGAAGAAGGATCTGATTTTGTGCGACTATAATACTTTATCGTTTCTGCATACAAGGAACACGTACTGACAATTTGCTTTGACAAAACTTAGACGCATACTACTACATGGCCGCAGTCCTATGCCTCATAATCGGTTCCTCAGGTCTCATCAAAGTCTATTTCGGCATCCTCTCACACCGCCGCGTCCGTGAAATGGCCACCTTCGAAGGTCTCGTCCGAGTCAAACGGAACGGCAAATGGACTGACATTCCCACTACCGATATCGTGCCGGGAGACGCAATCGAAATCAAACAAGGTGTGCTTCCCGTTGATGCAGTGCTTGTCGAAGGCGGTGTGGTCGTTGACGAGTCGAGTTTAACTGGTGAAGCATTACCTGTCGTAAAATATGCTATTCGTGGTGATGTGATGTATGATGAGATGGGAGCTGGGAAAGTGAATACGGTTTTCGCGGGATGTAGAGTGCTGCAACTCCAGGATGATACAAACATTGCTATCGTGACACGAACAGGCGCCATGACTTGCAAAGGACGTCTTGTACGCGATATCCTATACCCAACCGCCATCTCATTTATATTCTACGAACACCTCAAAATCGTGTTTCCGGGACTCATGATATGGGGTACTGTAATGCTGTGCTTGTCTATATGGATGCTGGGAGCTAGTTCAGTAGATGCATGGTTTTACGGAATGTTTACCGTGTCGCAGGTATTGTCGCCACTATTGCCTGCTGTGCTTGTAATTGGACAGAGTGTTGCGTCAGAACGGTTGAGGAAAGATGGAATTATTGTAACGGATTTGGCGAGGATTACGCTTGGTGGGAAGGTTAAGATTATGGCGTGGGATAAGACTGGTATGTTCTACAAGAAATTTGGGATCCGCATCTCAGGTTTTTTTTCTCATATTGATTTTTTTTGGCAGGAACTTTGACTAGAGAAGGCCTAGACTTCCTGGGTATACAACCCATCGATAAACTCAAATCATCAAACGAAGCAGGCCAGCCCCACCTCCCAGGCTTTGGTCCCGTCCTCCGAGAATTCGTCACCTTCCCAACCAATGACATTCGTCGTGCAATGCTCACATGCCACTCCGTCTCCCAAATCAATGACTCCCTCGTCGGTAATTTCGTAGATGTCGAAATGTTTAAATCCACTCGTGCACGAGTGCAACATGATACCCATACTGCGGCCGGCAAGACGATAATCATACCATCAGCACCTATTGATCCGATACTGTCTATTGAAAGGAGATTCGAGTTTAATCATCGGGACGCTTACATGTCTGTTGTTGTGAGAGATACTGTTACGAATCAGTTGACTGTGTATCTGAAAGGCTCATATGAGAAGATTGGCAGCATGATAACACCATCATCAATCCCATCCACGTATACAACCACAGCACAACACCATTCACGAGACGGGTGCTACGTGCTCGCTATCGCATCAAAGACACTCCCACCGAACTATACGTTAGACCAACTCGACCATGCGACACGGGACGATTTAGAAGCTGGTGCATCGCTAGTTGGACTGCTCTTGTTTAGGAATGAGTTGAAAGATGATGCCGTGGAAGGTTTGAAGGAGTTACGGGATGGTGGGATACGATCTGTTATGATTACGGGCGACAATGTGGATACTGCTGTGCACGTTGCACGTCGTGCGGGACTTGTTGGTGGTGGTGATGGAGACGGAGATGGAAGGGAGAGAGGGTTAGTTGTTATTGGGGATTTGAAGGATGAGAAGGGACACGTAAGTCTTATTCTGACGCTTTGGGATCGATTTTTTTGGTGTTGCTTTTGAGTGCAAAGCATTTGATTCGTATATTGGTTCTAACTCCTTCATTTTCTCTCATAGGCTGGTGTAGCATGGTATAACGCAGACGATGATCAGCCACTTGATTTAAATCAATTGGAAGCACTACTACGAGTGTCTCGTGCTGGTACATCTGCACGGCCTGTTGAATTGGCTGTTACCGGCCCAGCGTTTAATTTTCTAGTTGCTGATGGACGAGCGCAATCGTACCTTCTCGGTAAGCTTTATTCGAAATTTGATTGTCAATGCAAATAAAAGCAGTCACTAATGGAAAAACATGAACACCATAGACATCCGCATATTCGCACGCATGACACCCCCAGACAAGGTCCGCGCCATAAAGCTCCTCCAATCCCTCGCCATAACAGCCATGTGTGGCGACGGTGGCAACGACGCCGGAGCCCTCAAAGCAGCACACGTCGGACTAGCTCTAACAACCGACTCGGAATCATCCGTCGTGGCCCACTTTTCAGCTAAATCGAAATCACCAATGGCTGCTCCTATGTTGATCAGAGAATGTCGTGCTGCTCTGTCGACCAGTTTCGCAAGTTACAAGTATCTGATTGTGTATGGAGAGGTGCTGGCTGTTATGGGGTTGATTCAGTATTATTTTACGGTTAATATGAGTCAGTGGCTGTGGATTCTGGTTGACGGGAGTACGGCGCCGTTGGCGTGGGCGTTGACCACGTCGCGGCCCGCGAGGAAGTTGGGGAAGGATAGGCCTACTGCGCGACTGCTTGGTATGGTTTGCAATTGTAAGGGGGGTTTTTATATTTGTTCACATGGATTTGATTTCTTCTAGGTCCAGAAACAATCCTGTCTGTTGTTGGTCAAATATCCATCGACTTCATATTCTTAATAATCTCAATCACGCTACTCTCTGTGCAAGGATTCTACTATTGTCATATGTTTGATGGACGCAATGTGGATATCAGAAGATGGTGGGAGCTTGCTGATAATTATGAGGCCGAAGTAACAGGTATTGTAAAATTTCATAAAAATCGGTCTTTTTAACTTTTTTTTTTGCCTTTTGCAAAACATTCATGTTTGTCCTTACACATCCTTTCTCAAATCTTGTAGGTCTCGTGGGCGTCTTCCAAATAGTGCACTCAGCAGCCGTATTCAATCTCGGAAGTAAATTCCGACAACCATTCTACAGGAATTGGATTTTCCTAGTGATCTATACTGTGATTATGTTTGTCATTGCATATGTCACGCTTGCGGATCCTAATCCATTGGGATGCCTGCTGCATGTGAACTGTGGGACTCCTGCTGTAAGTGTCTTGTTGTTTCGAAGGTGTTGTGAACTTTATTTATGTGGTCTCGCTCCTGCCTTGTTGGGTGGACAAAAGTGACCATGAAAAAAACTCTCAACCATTATTGTCACTATAGGCTCTCACACAACTGGGATACACGTCACAGCCATGGATGCTAGGTGAATTCCACTCCGCATCAGGACATAACGTATTACCGACATCGTTCAGATGGACGTTATTCGTTATAATGATTGTGAATGGAGTTGCTACGATGCTGTTTGAAGGGTTTGTTATGCTGGGGCCTATCAGAGGGTGGGCGAGGAAGAGGTTTCCTCAAAAACGTGTGCATGTGAGAGTTTGAGTGTGTTGGGAGTGCTGTGTATATTGGAAATGATACCTGTGTTATATTTTGGAATTTGGATTGTACAGACCTTGGGACCTCTAGTTATTAAATTCCACATATGACAAGAACAAATCGTATCCCCGATTCACGTTTCCTTCCTATACTCGTCAAGACGAATCAACCTTGATACGATGCTTCATGTATCAAAAGGGACAATAAGTGGGTCAATTTGAGACAGTTTACGTTTGTTTCAGATATTTTTATATATTGCACCTACTGTTACAGCCTACTGTTGCAGTATTTACAATGTTTGAAGCTACTACAGAGATCACGGCGGGTCATACATGAACTTCTTAGGAGGTCGTCTGGTGCCCCTACCAGACAAGGCTGCTATTTTCCGTGGACTTTCAGCTTCCATACGAGACGACGAGCGTGATCCCTTCTGCTCTGTTCCGTTACCTTACATGTCCTGATTGCCTCTTTTCGATGACGGGGGGCTCGGATTCTGACCATACATTCGAAGTTGGAGCTGGTCGACTTTCAGATGTCATCATGCGCTGAGCAATATACTCGTCCATCCCAGGATTTCTTCCGTATATCTGGGCAGCGAGTGTCTGTGTTTTGAGAGATGGTTAGATCTAATATGTTCTTGTAAAACTGACTAAAGAGAAACCGAGACTCGTTTCCTGCCAAAAAGAGGATTGTTCGGTGGTGTGTCTGTTGGGGAACGTGTAGTCAAGAACCTCATACGAGGTGCTGACCTGTATTTCCTGTGCGAATGCATGGTGGTGTGAAGGTCGAGATATGTGGTGGATGACGTGGGTTGAGGAGATGGAAGTCGTGCCTCTATGAGTTTCCACTCTTCAATATCATCACCAACTTGCATACAACTGGACGCACCAGTTGGATAATTATGCGCAAGTGGGTTTGAGGCTTAAAAGGCCTCGATATGGTTTGTATTCGATACTAGTATCCATCCCGCAAACTGCAGTTGAAGCAGGGACCAGAATTTCACCCGCCTTGGCACAATCGAGTCGTTGACTGCTCCCTGAGCAAACGATGTACCGATAGTCGTATCGTTAGTCGAGTTATTCGGGGGAGCAGCGACAATCGGGACATCCAGCATCACATTTCTCACAAGTCTTCCCTCATTTACAAGGTGTGAGCGTGACAGACACCATGAAGGACTGAAAGTGGTCTATTCGATTCATGCTTCCTTCTAGTCAATCTAAACATAGTACGGCTTGATCCACCCCTCAATTGCTTTAAAGACTGGAGTTCACGAGAACCAATCGTGATTACAAAGATCGTTCTCGAGTGGTGATAGAATTCCTGGCCGCATCTGTAATTGTGTTTTTTATGTGCAAGCCATTCAAAGTATCCAGTTGACGAGGAGGAGAATGTTGGAATTCCGTTTGGAATCGGACAGACAATACAAGAAACAACCACAAGTCGAAACTTCTCAGACCAACTCTGAACAAATGAAAAGAACCAAGAAAGCCAAAATTGATCCAGAAGTTTTAATCTGCAGGTACGTGCAGATTGAAGGGTTGCTTAGTAAACGAAGTCAGTGTTTGTACATGTTCAATGTTCGTACATGTAGATCCTGGACGTAACTGATACTCTTGGTGGATTTTGGGACACCAAATAGACGTTACTTGGTCTCAACTTCATCGTTCGTCGAGTTCCTTCTGTCAAGTCAATTTACTGCCGCAATCGGGAACCTCTAACAAAAGTTTGTATGGAGCAACTGTATAATAGGAGAGCAGACTATTAGGCTTATTATTTTGCTTCTCAACGAGTACTGGTATCCACGGCAGTGTGGTGATGTTATTGCAAGACCCTTGTTGCGTTATTGCCGCTGCATTGTAGCAATATGTGTGTTCTGGATTTTCAAGAAGCGCGAAGTGAAGATCGATGATGATTCCGTGACCCGTGACCTGATGAAGCAAGTTTTACGATCAAGCTGATACGACAATCTTCATCTTAATGACGGATACTCACATGATTTATGTGATGGTAGAGATGGTAGCAGAGCCAATAGGCAACGTGTTTGACTTAAAGAGAACATGTGGTTTAATATATCACAAATAAGAAATCACCTCATATTCTGTTCCAAGTATTGCTCGCATCGCTCTGAAGGTTCTAACTCTCAAGAAACTCCGTTGTCAATTTACAATTATAAACTTTAGCGATGGAAACAGAATTCAATATCAACGAATTCGTATCGCCCTCCTCCCAAGGCTACATAGGTGCATCGGCTCTAGGTCTCATTGGCGCTTACTGGTATACTTCATCATCTGCGCAAAATTCCAAAAAGCCAAAAGCTCAAACAAGTCGTCCCAACACTATGACTAACGACTCCATTATCAATCCTAGTTTATTCACTGGATACTGGCATCATGGTCAATATGTTTCTATTCTTCGAAATACGCCCTCGCCGTCAAGTAAATCCGACATCAAAAAGATGCTTGATGCTCGAGGACGGCATCGCTCAGGCGCTTACATGAAGCTTAAAGGGATTGCCGATGCTGGTGCTGGTAATCAAGCTTATTTCCATCGCGTGATTGCCTCTTTGTCTCTGAATTTATCATGCTGACACAAACCTTCCCTCTATCAGGAAAACTGATCAAAGCACCACTATCAGGCTTCGACTGCTGCTTTGTACGCACAGAATACCTCGGCAACAGAGTCCGAGACGCCTCTGATGTCCGCGTCCACCAACGTGAAGAAATCCAAGAAGTCCCGTGGGGTATAACCCTCCCGAACGACAACTCACGTATTGGTGTAATCACATCCGAAGCAGATCTCGTAATCGACCAAACAGTAAAGGAGAAATACGTATCTGAATCCGTCATCCAGGCTGGTTGTAAAGTGCTTGTCCTTGGATGGGTCAAAGAAAGTGTAGCTGGTGTGCTTACAATCTCAAAGCCTATGATGAAATGGTTTGTTATCTCTACAAAGAGTGAAGACCAGATGGTGGTGGGGTATCAGAGGATGTGGATTCTTTATTGTGGGACTGCGCTTTTGTTTTTGGGAGCTGGAGGTGTTGTTGCATTGAAGACTCTGAGGGCTGTCATGCAGGATGGTGCTGCATCGACGATACGAGTATGAAGTGATGAAGGAGTGAGAGATGTGGTGGTTGTGTTTTGGTAAATTATTGCTTTCGTTGTCTTTTCTTCATGAATGCAGCACACTTTCTCCACTACGTTTTTTAAGGGTTTGCTGAAGAGTTGCCTGTTAAAAAAGAGGATTTGCTACTAAGCTATCTTCTGTTGCTGCTATTGTGTGGGCCCGGAGGACCGGCTCATTTTGAACACCACGGATGCCTTGTCTGGAAAATCTCCATCAAGAAACACACCCCGAATTTGGAATAGGCTGGTCACACACCAATTGAAAAACTCAAATCACACCTGCAAAGCTTGAAAAAAAGTCTAATACTCATCCCACACACGGATTTGACGGACGGCCATGGATGACTTGGATGCATACACCTACTACCATTGGGAGCTTCTCCAGACCTTCTTGCTCATAGTGCAAATCTCAGCGTTAATAGTCAACACCCTTCTAATTGCAGCAGTGCCATCAGACAGAGCATCATTATTCCGGTCTCGAAATCTCTTTTATTTGAATGTGGCTGTTTGTCAGGCAATCTACCAATGGTCTGAACTGCTCTTGTCCATTGCTGTACTCCAAAATGGGTCTTGTATCGGGATTGTTGATTCAGCGGGTGCAATATATGTTGGCTGATGCGCTGTTCATTGATGCTGTGTAAGGCTTGCCATTTTGTGCCTTTGGTTAAGAAACACGTATTGCGAGATTCTAGATCTAGCTATCGTTGTCAATAGTTCTCACAATTGTATTTATTGCTCTGGATCGATACTGGGTTGTTTGTCGAAACTGCATACTGAGACCGTCGGAGAGAGCACAAAGGGATGATTTGAAACTGGTTTTGTCTCGCTGGTCTCTTTTGCGGTTTAGCTTTGAAAGATGTAACCCCATGATGATCTGACCTACCTGGGAATCATCGATCCAAGTCACGAATATCATTCTAAATTACTGCTTGTTGGAAACGAAACGTTGATTGTTGACCATTTGAGACTCTTTTTTTGCACTTCCACAGATCTCTTAGGCGTCTTCCAAACTGTACATGCAGCAGCAGTGTTGGGGTGATTGCTGCATATTCATAATATGGGCAGTGTATGCCTTGTTGTAATGTGGTGATGCTGGTGTCACTGGTTCACCATCATTGTAAACCTTGTTCTGTTTTTTTACCGCTACAACGTCACGAAAGGCCACAAAATAGGAGGCTCTCTGAGAATTCAGAGATTCCCACTGCAGTCAGGAATGCCCTCAGAATTCCATTCCGTACAGTGATATAACGTCGTGCCAACAAATTTCAGATGGACTTTATTCATTTTGATGATTGTGAATGAAGCCTGTTACCATGACCCTCACTGAGATGTTAGGTATTTTGAGTCTGTTGAGATCAAGGTGGGGTTTCCTCCGGAACGAGTGCTGGTCACTGTTTGACAGGTGAAGTAATTCAAATTGAGCATGGAATATGAAGTTCATTTATTCTAACTTTTTACACACAATGCATAATGACTCCTCCCAACAACAACGACCGGTATTGTTCTCCGTTGTTAATCACTTTGATACAAAATCATTCCACCACTTTTCAATAGCATCCATATACCTAAAAAGAGATGGTCAGAACAAGATAGACAGAGGGGGAAAACCCAGACCGAATATACCCTGGCGCTATACAAGTATCATTATGCTTGCCCTCCTTGAAAGAAACAAATCTCACACCCTGTTCATCCACAACAAGTTTCGGCAACTCCGTCTTGTCACCAACAACAACAGTAGCCATCGATTCATCAACCACAATCCCCTTTCTGCTGGCTCTAGCAATAGACGCGAGCGCATGCATATGTGATGGTGGTACCAATTCATCTTTGAGGCCAGATAGCATTAGGATTGGGATTGTTCGAGGTATCAGAGTGATTGATTTGTATGTTGGCCATATTTGATGGCAGAGGAAGCCGAGTGGGCCGATGAATGGCATTACGTGGGGTATCAGTTTTGGCTAATAGGTGCATTTATATGTGTTATTTCTTTGATTTTCAAGCGTAAGAAAAGGTGAAAAGAACCTGCTCAAGACAACTGTGTCGACTTTGATTTCTCACACAAAACAACTCGACGGCAAGTCAAATGCGATCTTCCACACCCCTTCACGTACTTCACGTACTTACCAAACTCAAAAACGTATTCTCAACAATAACTCCCTCCACCAAATCCGGGTTTTTGCTAGCCAACTCAATAGCAACAGCACCACCAATAGATTGCCCAAAGAGTATTATTTTCGAGAATCGCAGTGTTGGATGTTCCTTAAGGTAATTCAATGCCGTTTGTGCATCGACCTTGATTCCTGCTTCAGATGGACTACCCTCGGATAGTCCATAACCACGATACGAGAGCATGAATATGTTGCATTTAAGCGATTTGTAGAATAGTGATGCGAATGGGAGGCGATGTCCCTATATTAAAATTGTGTTAAACTGGAGGCAAAAAAGGGCAGGACATTCGCCAAATCTCCTTCATGGTTCAGACGATCACCACCACATACCATATTTCCAGCATTAGCATGCAAATAAAGTATCGTATACGGCGACAGTTTATCAACACCAATACTCTTGTTGCTTCTTGATGGATCATTGTAAGCACCTGACAATTCGATTTTTCTGCGAATGAGGTATGCCTTTATCTTGAGATTGTCTGGCGTTGTGAGAGTCAAGTCTTCCCAGTCGTGCATGGAGAACTTGTCCGGAGTGAAAACCTCCTATGATGAGACAACATGGAGTTTAGGTCGAGCTGTTGTTGTAGGGTTTTGGCAAATGACTGATGGCACATACAGTTCTTGATCCTTCAGGAAAAGCGGCAGGATAGATCAGTGATGTTTGATATCTAGGTAATGGTTGATTTATAGGTTGAAGGAGTTGGTAAACGACATTGAGAAAAACACGTTATTGTAAACAACCTCTCTAATCCACTTACACCCATAACAAGACGAGAGCACCGCCTATCAGACTTGTAGCCAGACCTGTGACAGCGTAAAATGCGTTTTCGAATGATATATACGACGCCGTCATTGTTTAGGTTGCTGGGTTTAATGGTAGAACGAGTTTAGAAGTGACGAGAAAGGGGTGTTAACGTGATAAGCAAGCGTTGACCAACTAACCAAATACTAGATATTATATTTTCAAGAGTTTATACGCGACCAAACTACATCAAATGATCATTTTTAAGTTGGTGGCAATCCATAATGCTTACAGTTGAGCAGCAACAGCCTTTTTATGAGCAGCAAGCTTCTTGGCATAATCACCAGCCCATTTAATAGAAAAGGCAGTATCAACAAAGTGCTCAATCCGCGATATCTTGCCACTAGAGTTGACTGTAAGAAACATGACATACTCTTGGCTGTATTTAGATCCATCGTTCAAGTCTCCTTTGCCTTGAAGCTGTACGAGTGATGATGTGTCAGGCCTTGAGCGGTAAATGCGTGAATCGACGATGCTTACATGAAGAACAACGAGATTCCCACTAGCAATAACCTTGGATGGTGTCATGGAGTAGCTTTTAAAGATGCTGAATTCGTCCCTCATTTGGTCTAACGATTGTTTCTTGTTCATTGGCGGCTGTCGTAACTTGCCGGGCAGTATCTGATACACTACATCATCGCTGGCACAATTCCATGCTTCCTACATGCATTGTGTGAGGGATGTTACAAGTGAGAATTGCAATCGACACGAAGATTTACAGTTTGCTACGGACTTACATCAGCTTGCATCTTGTTGATCTTGCCGATGAAATCAAGAGCTACTTCCTTGGCTCCCATTGCTGCACGATTCGTTCCGTAAGCTTGAAATTGAATGTTTCTTGTTGAGTACAAAGGAGCTTTGAGACATACATAAGAATCAAGTAGCGATCCACGTAGCAAACCCGTCCATTCTGTGAAAATAATTCTCCATGAATGTATTTCCGAGTCGTGTCTTCGGTTTGATACTCACCAAGAAGAATAATCAAAAATTACAGCAATCGTCACCCAAGAGCAGCGAGCAAGCAAGGGACTCTCGACTGGTTCTCGACCTCGTTGGTATTAATATAGGCATATAGGCACATACTCGTAGTAGTTTCACGTGTAGAATAAACGAATATATTCAACCTTGAGGTTGCATTGGTTAATTTAACAGAATAAAAGATCGCAAACTTTGAAAGTGATGGTTAAGAACCTCTCTTCGTCAATTTCACGACATTGGTAAAGCGCTTTTCAATAGGTGTTGTCTTTCTTCGTGTTCTGTCAACTACAAACATGGCGAAAGAAAACCATCCACCATCATCCCGCATGTGCTTGGATTTGAACTTGTGCCCAACGGTAATGGCTAGCTATCTGAAAGTGACCATATAAATTGTTAGTGGATAGGTGCGAGCAAGATGAAAGCTTAGTAAAAATCTCCTTAATTCTTTAGGACCACATCAATCTATCATCAAGAGCAGCATTTCATAAGCACTGGCTCTGAAACTGTTACTCGAGGTGGAGCTCACTTGGAAATTCACTAAAGAATGTGTTGGGGCTTACAGACTCGCATGACCACTCTCCAAATACCACCACCCGTCAACTATAAAATTGTTTTCCCCGTGAACTATGTTGTTATAGGAAGTAAGCCCATGCTTGAATACACAGTTAAGGACGGACGGCTCTGGCTGCACGGTCGTACTGAAGACGGTAGTGAAGTCATCGCGCCTCAATGGAGTGAGAGTTTCAGAAGGCATGTTGCCAGTGTCCACGGGGACATTGGTACATGGGATGCATCTCGTTGGTCGTCAGTTTGGAAACGCGTTGGTGATGGCTCACGTTCTCCAAAACAACAAGCACTTGCATGGCGTGTAGTCAACAATCGCCTTACCCTGCGGGACGTCACTTCTCACTACATTGATGGTG